ATTGCTATGTTAAAGATACTAAATTATACTATTTAAAAAAACCATAAAAGAAATTAATAAAAAGAAAAGTTTATTATTTTTGGTACTTGAGAAATTCTTTTAAAATATTTTTGAACGTCGGATGACGTCAAAGCCTTAGTCGTACCACAAGAGATGCTGACAGTAGTGAAAAAGAAAACAATTCAAATAATTCTTTTCCAGAAATTAATATTTTTTTTAATGTATTGTATTTATTTAAATAAAAAAGTTTAGCACCTACTGATATTATATTTAAAATGTAATTTATTTTTCAAAAAACAATTATGAAAATTAAATGCATATAATGTAGAGTGTAATTAATTAGTAATTAACATGAACATACATTTTTTGTAATTTTTAACATTTGATTTTTCTTGGGTAGCTGCTATCGTAGTACTACCAACTATCACTATAATGTCATAAGTATTATCAATGAAACTGATAGGAGTATCATAATAAGCGTATATTGATGTACCTACCTATGTGGTATACGCATCTGGCAGTAATATTACAAACACAGTAAACGGTACTGATAGAATAATAATATAATTTTTATAATATTATTATTAATTATACATAATGCAAATTATTTAGTTTTGTTAAATACATGTATGTAAGAAGTATTGATTTTAAAATATATATATATCATTTAATTTTTTTAAATTCAGTTTTTTGAATACTTATAAATAACTATGATTTTTAAAATACAAAATATACGGTACATAACAATATAAATGATTTTATTTAAAAAATTAGGTAAGATAGATTTGGAGATAAATCCAGAATTCCATCAAAAAGTGATGATCCAAAACTAATTATACATAATATATATAGTATATATAGTAATTATATACGCGGTAAGCCACAGTCTTGGTTTGTCGGACCGTGATGGAGCACATTTTGTGATAGAGCGCATACTGCATCAGAGCCAAACTTAATTAATTTATTATGTAAAATACAAACAACTATTTGAAATTATAAAATATATTTATTACTATACTAATATAAAATTCCTGGTGTTGGAAATGATAAATAAATTACAGAATAAATACAAAAATATTATATACTATGAAACCGTGATGTTGTTTCTAAGCTTGTGTTCAATGCTAGACTACACCAAACGTACAAAAAAAAAAAATGGAGATAAGTGTTTTTACTTGATCAATTTTTGCATCATAACTATATTATATTATATAGTTTTAAAATACTCGCTTTTCCTCCAACTATTGAAAAGTTGACTTGTAAAAAAAATTAACTATCCATCGTACCTAATAATATATACTTATATTTATATTTTTTAAATTAAATTAAATTATAAAATTTGTATATCAAAACAATATTTCATGAGTAATTTTAACATTTTTGACATTATTTTCTTTATGGAATTTTAGACACTAGAAATTCGTTCATTTATTCCGGTATACAAAAATAATTACACCGGTATGTTTTAGTTTATACCGGTATATCAAGAAATTTTTAGGTACAAAATAATAAATACCAATAATATTCCCTCCATATTTAATTTTAGTTATCACTTGATTAGTTAAAACTAATAATAGATAACAGGTTTACGTGTTGTATACATTTTGAATTTTTATATGTATCAATAATAACTAAATTAAAATGAATAACTTGCAAATGCAAATATTTCAAGATTTTGTTCTAACAAAAAATCAAACCGGAAATAACATTATACGTGAAGAAATGAGGAGGGATCAAACATTTATACCGGTACAACTGTTTTGACCCAGCTCGCGAGGTGGGTCAGAAAAATTACACCGGTATAACAAATATTTTAAACCAGTATTGCAAAAAAATTTCTTTACTTTATACCAGTATTCATTTTAAGGGGAAATTTATACCGGTATGGACCAACGAATTTCTAGACAGTTGTTAGTTAATTTTAAGAACACATCCAAGTCATCAAGTTCCATGGTTCTAATCAAAAATAATAAATTCGTTTTTTCAATATATAAATCCAGGGATGGTATTATATACAATTTAATTAAAGCTTATTTTCCCACCTTAGCATTAAACACTTTTAGTGGCAGGCAATTAAGAAATATTAATTTCAAGAATATTGCATATCTGGTATCAAATTAATATTTTATATAAAATTTATCATAAGGAATAAAGAATAAATAATATTGTAAATACAATAATATTACAGTCTTAAATTACACTTACATATTAAAAAGGTATTGAAATAAAATGTCAATATTAGTTAATGAACTTAATTAATAATACTTAATATAACTGTTGTTTTGACATATAAAATTATTTCACAAAGATTAATACAAATTTTCATTTAATATGATAATTTAATTTACAATTAAGGTAAAGTACAAGAAAACGATTAAATAACTTTACTAATACAATTGTATACATTTTTGATTATAATTATAGACCGTATTTTTATGTTTTTACATATCTTTACTGAGAGTATGCAGCTCCAATTGGATAAACTTTCTCGACAATTCATTTACCTATGATATTATATACAACATTTTGTAGAGCATTAAAAAAGAATATTTTGTGTAAGAAACATGTTTTAGGAATATATTGCCATATTGGGTTCAAATTTGATTATTTTATAAAAAATCTAATAGATAATACATTTTTTTTTTATTTTTATTATTTAAAACTTGTTATTATTATTATTATTATTATTATTATTATTATTGTTGAGTTCATAAGAAAGAATTATTTAAGTTTGATTTATTTTAATACATAATATTTTTCTGTTAATGAACTATATACCTACAATTAATTTTTATTTTTGAATGTCGGATGACGTCAAAGCCTTAGTCGTACCACAAGAGATGCTAACAGTAGTGAAAAAGAAAACAATTCAAATAATTCTTTTTCAGAAATTAATATTTTTTAAATGTATTGTATTTATTTAAATAAAAAAGTTTAGCACCTACTGATATTATATTTAAAATGTAATTTATTTTTCAAAAAACAATTATGAAAATTGAATTCATATAATGTAGAGTGTAATTAATTAGTAATTAACATGAACATACATTTTTTGTAATTTTTAACATTTGATTTTTCTTGGGTAGCTGCTATCGTAGTACTACCAACTATCACTATAATGTCATAAGTATTATCAATGAAACTGATAGGAGTATCATAATAAGCGTATATTGATGTACCTACCTATGTGGTATACGCATCTGGCAGTAATATTACAAACACAGTAAACGGTACTGATAGAATAATAATATAATTTTTATAATATTATTATTAATTATACATAATGCAAATTATTTAGTTTTGTTAAATACATGTATGTAAGAAGTATTGATTTTAAAATATATATATATCATTTAATTTTTTTAAATTCAGTTTTTTGAATACTTATAAATAACTATGATTTTTAAAATACAAAATATACGGTACATAACAATATAAATGATTTTATTTAAAAAATTAGGTAAGATAGATTTGGAGATAAATCCAGAATTCCATCAAAAAGTGATGATCCAAAACTAATTATACATAATATATATAGTATATATAGTAATTATATACGCGGTAAGCCACAGTCTTGGTTTGTCGGACCGTGATGGAGCACATTTTGTGATAGAGCGCATACTGCATCAGAGCCAAACTTAATTAATTTATTATGTAAAATACAAACTATTTGAAATTATAAAATATATTTATTACTATACTAATATAAAATTCCTGGTGTTGGAAATGATAAATAAATTACAGAATAAATACAAAAATATTATATACTATGAAACCGTGATGTTGTTTCTAAGCTTGTGTTCAATGCCAAACGTACAAAAAAAAAAAAATGGAGATAAAAGTTTTTACTTGATCAATTTTTGCTCATAACTATATTATATTATATCCATCGTACCTAATAATATATACTTATATTTATATTTTTTAAATTAAATTAAATTATAAAATTTGTATATCAAAACAATATTTCATGAGTAATTTTAACATTTTTGACATTATTTTCTTTATGAATTTTTAGACAGTTGTTAGTTAATTTTAAGAACACATCCAAGTCATCAAGTTCCAGGGTTCTTATCAAAAATAATAAATTCGTTTTTTCAATATATAAATCCACGGATGATATAATATACAATTTAATTAAAGCTTATTTTCTAACCTTAGCATTAAACACTTTTAGTGGCAGGCAATTAAGAAATATTAATTTCAAAAATATTTCTCATCTGGTATCAAATTAATATTTTATATAAAATTTATCATAAGGAATAAAGAATAAATAATATTGGCAATACAATAATATTACAGTCTTAAATTACACTTACATATTAAAAAGGTATTAAAATAAAATGTCAATATTAATTAATGAACCTAATTATTAATACTTAATATAACTGTTGTTTTGACATAGAAAATTGTTACACAAAGATAAATACAAATTTTCATTTAATATAATTTAATTTACAATTTTTGTTAATACACTTTTATGAAAAAGAATATTTTTGCATTCAAAAGATTTTTTTGATGAAATTATAGAGCATAGAAGCAACTTATTTTCAAAATTTTAAGCTCATATAAATCCGGTATCTAGTTATAACACTTGAATAGAAATTTAATATATTTTTACTTTTCAATAATAAGTTGGATGGTACCCTAGGTATTTATATTTCCCTATTGATGTTAGATCAAGTTTTTTAATTATAAATATTGTCAATACATTTATAGTTTATACAGTAATAAAAAAGGCAGATTAAAAAACATTTATAATTTGATTTAACCTAAACAAAAATTAATGCAATATTTAAGACAAAAAAAAATTCAGTCAAGTATGATAATATTGTTCCATTCACTTAATTCTAACTTGATTCTTACAATAATTATAAATTCTTATTAATTAATTAACAAACTAATATTAAACTGATGAAAAAAAAAACTATATTTATGTTTGTATATTTAAATGTTTTGAAATCTTAATTAGGTTTAGATTGTTACATCTTATATAAATGCTATAAGAACACTTGCATATATGCATATACTGGCTCAAAACATACCAGACATTGATTTACTTTTGGTGCGCATTTATAACAAGTAGATATGTGTCTACATGGTAAAAATAAAGCTTGCATTTCTTCTTTGCAACAAACCTTACAAAGAACTGGATCAATTAGTTCATTTGAATGGATGGTGAATGGAAAATTACTGAATTCTTTTAGATTGGTAACATAAAGGCCAACTCTCATAGTCATAGTAAACGGCTGTCTGCATAAAGCACACAGATCAAGTGTCACTGCACATTGGATACAAGCAATAACATGACCACAAGGCATGAAAAGTACTTCCAATTTTTCTTTAAAGCAAATTTTACACAGCACAGAATCAGGCGCAGATGGATCTTGTGGAGTTACGCGTATAATTGTCACAGGTTCCACAAAGTCCATGAACGTATTACTTTCGGTTAATGTTTCCAAATTCCTAAAAAAGAAAAAAATATCAATAATAAATAATATAATATAAGGAAAAATGTTTTAGTTCAATAAATACAGTTATTAATATGATATGGAATTCAAATTTATATATATTATGGATATAATTTCACTAAAAAGGTGACTAATTACATTTTAAGTATTAAAAAGTTTTAAATTTAATTAGTTAGTCAAATTGAATGTAAACAAAACAAATAACTTTTGACATATTATTAATAATTTATAATAGGAGAAATATTTTAATTGAAATTCAATGATTTTAGGTATGTTTACTTTTGTCAGGTTTATAAATACATCAAAAAATCAATATATTGCTTTCCACCGCATTAAAATTTTGCATTGTCTGTTTTAAATACCTGTTTTTGAAACCAAAATGATTAAACATTATAGACATTATATGTTTAAGATATAAATCACTTATTTGTTAAATATAAATATTAAATTATTTAAACTTAAATAAAAAGTAAACTGACCAATAAATTAATGTCACATAGTAATTCTATAAACATATCAAATAAATATAATCTTAAAAAATTATAAATTTTAATCTGTACTATACAAGTGGCTTGATACTTTTCAAAATCTAATTATTTTACAAAAATATTAAGTAGTAAAACATGTAGTAAAACATACATTTTTAATTATTTTACCTTAGGTTTGAAAATGTAATTTAAATTTCTCCTTAGTTTTTTATTAATTCATTACCAAGCTTAATTAATATTCATAATAACCCAAAATTACATCATTTAAAGCATTCATCTTAAAGTACTTTTTATTTATAGGTAACTCATTATCATGTTAAGTGTTTTAATAATATATCAGGTTACTGCTCAAAACCATAAAATATATTAAAACATACCTCAATGTATTGCTGTCAACTGCAATATGTCTGTGAATGGTAAATAACTTATTCAATTCCTGTAAAAATAATACAATGCATATAATCAATTACATCTTAAAAATGAATTAAAAAATACTAACCTCTATGTTGATTCGTAAACTATAGTCTAATTCACCACCAACCTCTTCCACAAAACGTTTGCCTTTACTTAAAAGAACATAACTGCAAAGTGGTGACCACCGTGCATGTTCAACCCAAGGATCATCGTCAACTTCCCAATCCATCAAACCTTGGTTACAGCAGAAACATAACATCCTATCGTTTTTACCTTAAGATGCAAACATTGTTGACTATATATTCTGATCATACAAATTATAAATATTATAAAAGTTACCCATGTAAAATAGCCCAGCTTTACAAAAAGTTTTAACATCATGGGTTAGTCTTTTTGTGAATGTTTCGAATGTTTTCTTACGAGATTCCAAAGAGGTTAATGCTTTATACATTGGGAAAACTTTCATATTCGTATCTGTCACAATACCAACGGAACGTAAGAAATTTTGAATATATGTTGTCAAAACATCAGATTTGTGATCTGTAAAAACAAATTATCATTAGTATATTTTAATACATATACATAGATATAATTCATAATACAAAATACCAATACAATAGTTATTACAATTTTAAACATATTTATCTAATATAATTTATTAAAAAAAAATGTTTTTGTATGAAATGTATTTATATTAAATGTTTACCTAGTTTTTCCTTGAAAAATGGACACTCTGGAGATGCCAATTTATGTTCAATATACGGATCGTCATCCTTTCCCCAGCATTCAAATCCATTTGGGCAGTATAAACATCTCACTTTATCTTGTATTCCTATATAATAAAAGCCAGCCCTAGCCAATTTATCAGGTGTAATACATTCTGATGGCCATTTTTTAAATGACTTCAGACGATTTTCATAAATTTTCATATCACAGATAGGAATAGTAGACTCTAGTGATTTTGTGATGCTTTTTGAACTTAAAGAAGGCGTAGCAGGTTTATGACTTGGAGAAGGCACAATCTGTAAAGAAAAAAAAAATGTAAAAAAGTACAAAACAAATATTCAATCCACAATACATTAACATAAATTAGGCCATACACTAACACTCAATTGTTGTTGTAATGAAAGTCATTAATGGTAATAATATAGTACATAATATACTTACACATGGTGACACATTTGAAAAATAGTTTAAATTATTCATTGATTATATTAAGGATCTACATTTTTTAATAAAACTATTTTAAACAAAACACAACTATATTAAAGTTAAAATGAAATAAAAGTAGATAATTTTCAATGACACAGATAATATAGTTTTTATTGTCTACGGCTAACTATAAATGTGTATTGTGCGTCAATATTAGGTACTTGGTATCATGAATAAAGGTATTTATAATTCATTAACTTGATTCAAAGGTTTAATTTTGTGAGTAAATTTGTTTTATTATTCGTCTACTTTACTACCATTTTTATTTTATATTACCTAAATTACAGTACTATTGTCTATTATACATTTAAGTTCAAGGTATTTATGATTTATTTTTATTTACACATTTAAGGAATTTGTAATATTGAAAGATCAAAATACTATAGGAAGTTAAAATACCTAATAGTGAATAATACTACCTATATTCAGGGTTGAGCAGTATTAAAGATACAATTGTATCTTGTATCATGATACATCATTTTTAAGTATCAAGTATCATGTATCATGTATATAAGATACTATTATTGTAAAAATTTGTACTGAATAGTACCAAAACATTTTGATTTTCGATATTAGATAATTTTGCCGCGGATTGTATTTTTACAAAAAATATTGTCCAGGTCCAATATAGCCGAAATTAACGATAACAAAAAAATGTACCACACAATTTTATAAATTTAAGATAGTCTGATAAACACAAATTAAATTAAGGTGCCCGTATGGCCGTAGCCTGTACAGAAAAGCACTAAATCGAAAATTTTGTTCTCATATAATATGAATCATTTACCTGGATATAAGGAGTGTAACCGTGTAGGTATTTCCACATAAAATAGAAAATAAAATCAAAAGTAAAGATAAGCAATAACAGTACACTATTCACGCTGTTGTACCATTCTATTCGTTCTGTCGTCTGTATTACTGTGTCACTGTGTCAACTGCCCGTTTACAATTTTTTCATATTTTGTTACTTTATAATTGATTATTTTTAATTTTACGTTTAATAGTTAATAAAATTTGATTTGAAATATAAAAGTATCAAGTATTTTGTATCTTTTCTAAATTCACAATGTATCTTGTATCATGATACTTTTTTTGAGTATCTTGCCCAACCCTGCCTATATTATAGTTTCTTAAAATGAAAAGTAAAAATACTAAATTTAATCAATAACTGAATACCTACATTTTCGGTATTCACTCAAAATTAAAATTAACTTATATTTAGGTACCCATAATTATAGGTATGTGTCTATTTTGAGGCACCTACACATTCATAGAATAATATAGGAAAACACTCACATGGTATCTAAGTATTATTTCTGTTTTTTGGATTGAAGTAAAATATTATCATCATGTAATGATTAGGTATATAAAATGAATATTGCAATATTATTTAACTAATAATGATATTGTTTGATTAATCAAATAATACAAATATGTAAGTTTATCTAATTACAAGTTTTGAATGAAAAAAAATGGTATCTTTAGAATATGCCAATACCTACTAGGCTGACTATCAATAAATCATGTAGAAGCTGTAACATAATATGTCATGGATGCAAAATAAAAGTACTCAATACTTACAAATAAGTCAAATGCCACACACTACAGCACCTAGCCATTTGTATTTATGTTTAAAGCCATAACCAGTCACCAATTACAGACAACTGATTTTAAAAATGGGAAAACTAGCTGTCTCCTCCAGACAATGTTCAACGACAATACTGTTTCAATAAGACTGATATTCCATCAAAGCAATACTATTAGAAACAATGTGGGCGAGGTCCCCAAAGTTATAATTGAACTAAAAGAGAAAAATGGCTAGGTATCGATGATGACGATGATAACCAACAAAACGCAAACCGTGAATAGTTATGTAAAATAAAAATACTATATTGACTACAACTTTCTACTTACGCCAGTGGTTCCGGCGGTGTGGTCATTGCCGACATCGTTGTCGTTGGCAATATCGTTGTCATTGACGACATCGTTGTCGTTGACAATATCGTTGTCGTTGACCACATCATTGTCGTTGCCGTTGACGACATCGTTGTCGTTGCCGACATCGTTGCTGCTGTCGACATTATCGTCGTTGTCATTGCCGTTTCCAACATTGTTGTCATTCTGTGCGGGCGGGTCATTCGAGGGAACGCGTTCAGAGCTGTTATCCATGGTGGCAAAAAATGAAGAGTGACCGAACAACTACGATCGAGTAAAAAATGTAAATTCAGTCGGCGGCGAGGGCATAAAAGATGACAGGAACGAGTCTGTACTCTCTAGTCTGGTAGCGTCGGTGAAAATGGCGTCCGGCGGTAGCACGCTGATGCGCTGATTCCTGATGCTTGCGGGTGGTTAAATAATAAATACGGCACACCAGAACGCGACGCAGCAGCAGCTGCACAAGCCAACAGGAGATTGTGTTTTGATGAGGCATTGAGGCGGTGCCAAACATTTCGTCGTGTTAATAAGTGATAACACGATTACACGACATATCACCTAACCCAGGAGTCAATTAGTTCTCTTACCAACTAAATCCCCAACAAGAGTTTTTATACATTTTTTTTATGATGTTAATATGTTATCATGTTCATTTTTGTGGAAAACTAAAGTAAATTCAAATTAGGCATTTATTTATTTTTATATAATATATATGACTGTCAACCATTATTACATACAGTCATTAAATTTTGATGTATACAAACACATGATACTAAAGTTTTCGACCAAATGTTAATTTCAATAATTTAACTTCTAGTATTGTTTTAAATACAACTGTACGCAGAAGACAAAGAACTTTAAGAATTTGTAAATAAAATTGGATTCAAGGTGGCTGATGCAATGCATCAATATAAATCATGAACAAACACGGTAAATTTTAAAAACAATATTCATCACATTACTAAAATAATTAAAATAAATAATGTAAAATATAAATTTATTAAAAACAGCTTCTTCCCAAATTTCAAAATCATTATTGACGATCAGTCGGTCATATTCTAATTTTTGTGCCACATGCAGTTGTTATGGATTTCAATAAAATGTTGACATTGGCGTGCATTTATATTTACTATGAAAATTCATTGTGGTCACTAGATGACACAGTATGTAATAATGTTTAGAAATATACTACATAATTATTTAAAATATATTACCTAATGACCTTCATTTTTTTTTCTCAGCTATCCAATATAATATATAGTCATATCTAAGTAGTTTTGGCTATATTTTTATTACAGTTGTTAGTGTTCATATATACCTACCGTCAGCAGCATAAAGCATCGATGAAACGAAATCAACTACCGTTCGGATAATGCCACCTACAACACAAGGTAATAACAATGGTGTTTTGTGTGTGTTATGTTTATGATATTATATTCATTTTTGTCTTGATAATCAATACTCATATACAGGGCTGAAAGTAAATAACTTTTAGTAAAAAAAAAAAAAAAAATTTAATTTAAATATGTGCTATTAAAATTGATGTTTATTTTAATCCCTATTTTCTGTATTTCTTGTAAAATTAAGTACCTATGTCAAAATAAATTAAATTATAAGTAGAGATTCAAAGATAATTGTTTAATATAGCAGTGAGTTATGAAACAAATTCATGTACCTAGGTCACTTTTTTGATTAAATTCAGTCACTTAGTCACTTTTTCAAATAACTTTAACCACTTCCAGCCCAGCATATAGTAATTTAAAATTAATATTGTTTTCATAAAGTAACATGACCATCATCCATTATTCCATACATTTATTTTATGTATTGTAGACACATGGCTTCTATCTAGCATTTTTTTTAAATACGGTAATATATTTTTATTACAGTTAGTATACATTCACTCCCGCTGTCAGCAACAAAAAGCATCGATGATCAGGCAGAAACGAAATCAACTGCCGTTGAAATACTGCCACCTACAACACAAGGTATAAACAATGGTGTTTTGTATAATACATATGTTAAGTTTATGATATGATGTTCATTTATGTCCCACTAAACAATAATCATATACAAAGCTGTAAGTCACTTTTAGTTAAAAATTGTTTTTTAATTTAAATAGTTAATATGATTTAATTATGGCCCATTAAAATGTGTTTATTTTAATCACTATTTTCTGTAGGTTTTGTAAAACTAATAAACCAGAATAAATAAAATTATATGTAGAGATTCAAAGATAATTGTTTATTAACAGTGATGAGGATGCAAATAAATTATACATTTGTAAATTCTGTCAAAAAGAATTTAAATATAAATCATGATACTAAAATCATGTAGTGATACGTCATGACACAATTGGTTAACTGCATTGTTATTACTGTCCTAGGTATTTCAAGAGACGTGACAATTTAGAAAGACATTTCTATACATATTTTGGAGGGAAAAGTCATGATTGCGAAGATTGTTTTAAATCATTTACATTCAAATTTAATCTGAAATATCACATCGACTCTCAACACAATGATAATCCGCAGGGAGGGTAGCTGAGGGTACTTGAGACGTTTTGGTAATGTGTAATGCAACTAGATTTAAAAAAAAAATATATAATTCTACTGAAAATAGTATGTACAAGCCAGAAAAAATAGAGTTAGTACAATTGTACACTATAATAACGTACATCAATTTATTTAAAGAACAAATTCATGGATTCTTTGTCCGTCAGACCAAAATCATACTAAACATTTCACCATACCTTAAATGCAAGTATGTACGCAGAAGACAAAGAATTTAAGGAATTTGTAAATAAAATTGGATTCAAGGTGGCTGATGCAATGCATCAATATAAATCATGAACAAACACGGTAAATTTTAAAAACAATATTCATCACATTACTAAAATAATTAAAATAAATAATGTAAAATATAAATGTATTAAAAACAGATTCTTCCCAAATTTCAAAATCATTATTGACGATCAGTCGGTCATATTCTATTTTTTATGCTACATACAGTTGTTATGGATTTCAATAAAATGTTGACATTGGCGTGCATTTATATTTACTATGAAAATTCAATGTGGTCACTAGATGTAATAATGTTTAGAAATATACTACATAATTATTTAAAATGTATTAATGACTTTCAATTTTTTTTTTCTCAGTTATCCAATATGGTCTAACAAAGTAGTTATGGCTATAATAAGCTATAAACTAACTATATTGACAAAAAACATATAAAGGCCACACTACTACATTTGGTGAATGAAAATTATTTAGAAGAGGAAAAAACAACAATTATACAACTAAACATTACTACAATACAAAGACATACAAATAGTCAACAAAATTTTTAATATTACTTATGAAACCTATATGAAGATATCAATATTTTACAATGTAACTTGATTTTTTTGTTTTAAAACACCAATATGGTTTACAAATTCAAATAATTTCTATAATTGTGTAATTGTATCCTGTTTAAGCTGCCAACAACTATCTAAAGTGATTGAAGCATCAGTAAACATCTAGAACAAACAAAAACCAAAAATTCAATCAGATTATTTTACATTTTATATTTAAATTTAGTCACTTTACATTAAAATTGTACAGCACTTTTCATTTATTATCTCATCAATTATCATCACGCCCAACTATTGAGAACATTTTAACACTTTATTAAATTATATTAATTTTTGTTTTTTAATTAATCACCCAATTGTACCAGACACGATATTTCATTGAAAACAAGCAATCTTTAAGTGGTGCAAAGAAAACCCCAACCCCCGGGTAACCAAAACAAAAAAATTTAACTATTATTTAATAATGAAAAATAAAGTAATTTGACTATGGATATATGTTTCTTAAATACCCTAAAGTAACTTATAAAAGTTTCAAAGTTCTAACTCAAATACTTTTTTTTATAATCAGAAATAAACAAATAATATTCAAAATGTAGTGCAAAGGGACCATCTAATGCTCCGTTGTTTTATATAATTCGCTATAATATATATATATATATATATATATATGTATATATATTCTTATCATAATATGTGCTAATGAATGAAATTATGTCGATTAGTATTTTGGTTTTTCACCCGTTGACCTATTTATTTGGCCAAAATGCAAAACTGTTAAAAACTACGTTCTATACCTACACTATTATATTAAAATATATCGTTAAGAAATTAATATTTTTTTTACATACTGCAAAACTTTGTTAATATTATTTAAAATATTAGAAGTTGTCAATATATTACAGCGATCTCTCGGCTATAATATATTTGACAACTTCTTAATTTCTTAATATTTTTATTCTTAATAAATTTAATTATAATTAAAAAAATTAAATTTACTAAGAATAAAAACCCACCCATTAGATGTTTTTGATTTCTATTCAAATATTATAATAATTCATAACTATTAACAAATTAATTACTTTCTTGTTAGTGCGTTAATATATTCTTAAATTTTAATTCCTTTGACATTTAACAGAGTTTTTCTATATTTTGTATTAATCAATATTAAATTATATAACTTTTTTTTTTAAATGATGACGGATGTTGATACAAATAATGTGATCATCAAAACTACTCAATCATACATATCATGCACCATTAAAGATTTTTTACTAGGACATGCAATTGCTGTATTACATATTGTATTTTAATTGGTTTTGTTTTACTATATTTTGAAATTTCATAGTAAAAATTATTTTTTACACTAGTATAAACTATAGTTTATTAATTATAGTCATTATATATATATGACTTAAAAGTATTTGATACGACTAAGATTCTTTTTAAATATGTTTAATATTTTTACCAAAACTATTTATAATATTATTTTTAAAACATGTTATTATACAGTTTAAAAAAACATTGAAGTTTTATATCTATACTCAGCAAACGTCGTATTCCCCATAAAGAATATTTTTTTGCAGAACCTTACTATAAAAAAGCAATTGTAAACTTAATTTATAGTGTATTTAAGTATGGCATCTAGTGACCCAACTACCGGGGAGAAGGGTGTCCATCACTGGAGTGCAAGTCCACAGACTACTGGGGCCACAGGCCAACTAATAATAGTCTATTTCTTATTTGATAACAAATATCAAAACCACATTATTTTAATGTATGAATCAAATTTCACAAAATAGGTACGGTCTACTAAGTAATAATACATTACAATACATACATTATAGTTACAATAAAATATAATATAACAGCCCCCATT